CCCTGAGCCGCGAGAGCTCGGACAAGTTGATGACCGTGGTGGCGAGCTCAAAATGCTCATGGTCGCACGTGAAGGCGCTGCCCATGGTGATGACGCCATTCGGTCCTGGCATCTTCAGCTTGAGTTAGGTGTAGTTGGGGATCATCATGAATTTGGCGTAGCATGGCCGCCCCAAGATGGCATGGTAGGACCCTGGGAAGTCCATCACTTCGAAGGTGAGGACCTCCGAGCAGAAATTGGCTCGGTTGCCAAACATGACGGGCAGGTCGATCTACCCAAGCGGGTACGCCTGCACTCCTGGGATCACGCCGTGGAAGGAAGAGCCCGCTGGGCAGAGTTCTGACCAGGGGATGCACATGGCGACAAGGGTGTCGACATAGAGGATGTTGAGGCCGCTGCCTCCATCCATCAGCACCTTGGTGAGGCGCTTTTGACGGACAATGGGATCGATGATGAGTGGGTAGCGTCATAGTCTAGCGATGTGGGAGGGATGGTCCCTCTGATCGAAGGTGATTGAAGATTCTGACCAGCTAAGGAAGGAGGGGACGGCCGTCTCGGCGACGCGTGCCTCTCTGTAGCGTACCTTGTGCTGGCGCTTGGAGCAAATGGTGTCGGATCCCTCAAAGATCATCATGCATTCCTCAGGGTCGGGGAAGCTATCCCCGTTCTTGCTCGCCGTGCCTCATTTCTTGGCTGCTGCCTCTTTGCCGTCTCCTTCTTTTGGCCCATCGACCTGTCGTAGGAAATGTTTGAGGAGCTCGCAGTCCTTGTAGAGGTGTTTGATGGGGTAGGTGGGGTTGGTGCATGGGCTATCCATGAGCTTGTTGAAGTGGTCAGGCAGGCCCTGCTAGGGCTGCTTGCCCATGCGATCAGCTGTGGTGACCAACGCGGTGTTGGCCGGTCGACGCTGATCCTTTTTGTTCTTCTTGCCCCTCTACATGGAGGGGTCCTCGTCTTGGTCCTCGTGCTTGGCCTTGCCCTTGTCCTGGCCTCCGTTGAAGACCGCTCTAACCGCCTCCTCACCGGAGGTGTGGTTCATGGCGACGTCGAGCAGGTTGTGGGTGGTACGAGGCTTTAGGCAGCCAAGCTTGTGGATTAGGGACTCGCAGGTTGTCCTAAAGAGGAATGCGCTGATGATGTCCGCATTGACAACATCAGGGAGGGAGTTGCAGCGTTGGGAGAACCTGCGGATGTAATCCCACAGGGACTCGCTGGGCTCCTGCTGGCAGCTCTTGAGGTCCCAGGAGTTACTAGGGCAGACATCCGTCCCCTAGAAATTTCCAACAAAGATCCTCTTGAGGTTCGCCTAGTCTCAGATGCTGTCGTGCGAGAGGAATTCAAGCCATGCCCGAACATGTTCCCCCACGCAGATGGGGAGATATTGAATGATGAAATGGTCATCGTCCACCCCTCTGGCTTGGTAGGCAAGCTGGAAATCTTCAAGCCATATACCGGGGTTCGTCTCCCCAGGGTACCTAGCGATGTTGGTGGGCGGTCAGAAGTGCTATTGGAGCAACACTCTCTAGATACGTCGGCCAAAGGCCTATGGTCCCTGGCCATCCGGGCTGGGACTCCGGTCGTCTGGCAGGTGACCATGCCTGGAGCATGTTTCATCGCTCCCCTCGATGGTCCGACCGGGGCCTGTGTCGCCTGCCCTCACCGCCACCCGATGGATGTCATCATCACACCGAGCCTAATGTCGGTTGCTGATGATGCTGCGAGCGTCTTGGTTTGGATCAAGCCGTTCGCATACCGGTGGTCGGTGTGGAGCAGGCGTCAGGCCGGACCACGGCGCAGCTGCGGCCTCTTGTGCCGCGCATGGCGGCTATAGCGGTGAACGGATGGAGCGATCCATCTGGTGCGTCCCCACTCCCCTGGTGGGGAGACAGGCCACGAGTCGGAGTCATGATGCGGAGCCTTCCTCCTGTTGAATGGTGGTGGCTTCCACCAGCACCCGGATGTTCCGGTGGACCGTCTGCTCCTGGGGTCGACGGGCTCGGGAACACCACGCAGAAGCATTGCCGCAGCGGCGATGTTCTAGCTAGCCCAAGCGAACTATGGGGGATCGTTTCCCTTGTCCATGATGTCGCAATGGACCTAGCGGGCGCGACCCCGGGCGCCGCTCGCCGGGTTACGCGCATGGGGCGCATCGTGGTGCGTCGAACGCGCTGGTGCAGGTGGCGGCTGGTTCTGTCGCCTTTGTCGTAGTTCCTCGCCATGCGCCTACGCACACTTTAGGGCATCCACATGAGGGTCTAGAGGGGTGTGGGTCTATAGAGACTCCGCCACCACTAGCGGCTATCCTGGGGCATCCGCTATAGCGTACTCCTAGGATTGAGGGTGGCTAGGTGCCTCGATGTCGCCGACGCTAGAGCCGTCGCTCTCCACATCGTCATCCATGAGGTCATGGACATAGGTGGGAGCATAGCTCGCCATCCCCATGAATTCAGATGTGAGAGGGGGCGGCGCTAGCATCCTTTGGAGCCCTCAGGCGTACGCGTCCGTGGGGGACGCGAGGCCGTAGGGGAACCGGTCGCATGGCGGTCGCGGCAGGGACAACGACGTCTCTCTAGAAAATCGGTGAAAGATAGTAAATAACAAAGCGTACATTACTCACAGTGGGGTTTGAGCAGAGCGTATGCTCAGAATGAAGCGCAGGCGCCTCGTTGTTGAAGTCATCGGGTGTCCCAGAGCCGTTGGAGGGCGCCCCTCCGACGGGCGTCAGAACAAGTACCTCCTCGCGGAGGTGTAGTACGCCGAGCCGGTCGGCAATGAAGTCCAAGCTTCCTAAGAGGAAGGCCTGGGACGGCTCGAAGATGGGTGGAACCCACATTCCAACAGGTGGGAGTGCGGGAAACTCTAGTGAGCCGAAGTGAGTCATATCGCTTGAGTCCGCCATGGCGGAGGTGGCAGAAAAGTGGGCCATCCGATGACCAAAAAGTGTGAACATACAACATCTTCCCCACGGACGGCGCCAACTGTCGGTGCAGAAAGTGACCAACACGTAAATATTTGTAGTTTTGCCATACGTTGTGATCGGATGTGGCCTAGCACTCAATGACACAGGGTTTATACTGGTTCAGGCAACGTGCCCTACGTCCAGTTTGAGTCGGTCGGTGACTTTATTCCTAAGCCCAGGTACTCGAAGTTTGATGTGGGGTTACAAACAGAAGGGAGTAAGATGGAGGGTGTAAGAGGCCTAGTTAGACTCTGGTCTAAAGGACCGAGAGTGACGAGAGCTCCTGCGTGCGCTGAATATTCAAGCATGTGCTCGAGGTTTGAACCTGGTGGTTCTATTGTTGTGTGCTGAATCGATCTAAGTGAACTGAGCCTCCTTTTGTTGGGAGAGCGCATCCTCTTTTATAGATGAAGGGGATGGCCTTACAAGTGAGAGAGGGAGAGTGTATGTATGCTAAGTCTTGTTGCCCACGCTGTCGGGTACAAGATGATTGTAGGCGCCCATAACACTGTTAATGTCAGATGCATGTGGGAGGTTGCGTCGTCTTCTTCTGGTATGGCAGACGTCGGTGTCTGCCATGCTGTTGATATCCAGAGGCATGTAGGGGGTTTTACCATGTTCGCCTGGTATGGTAAATGCCGGCGCCCACAACACTGTTGATGCCCAGAGGCATGTGGGGGGAGTCTTACCGTGTTTGTCTGGTGTGGAAGTTGATGGCGCCCACAACACTGTAGGGTAAATGTCGGCATCCACAACACTGCTTAGGTTCTGACATGCCAGAAAGGTTGTAGGGTACCCTTCTGACATGCCCTGTTGGTACTGTCCTGCAGATGTACAGGGTACGGTCCTCGGTATTGCGGTTGACTTGAGTGCCCTGCCTTACTTTCTCCGTCTGTTTTCTGGTCTTCGTCGAGCGGGCATCCCCGGTCGGTTGGTCCCAGTCGGCTCCGACTGTGCTAGTCGGAGAAGAGCTGTAAGCAGAGGTTCGGTGTATCCCCGGTCGGAGACGCGGGTCGAAGTCGGAAGCGGTGTTTGGCCAGGCCTTTCGGTCGGAGAGGCGGCCCGGAGTCAGAAGCGAGTGTTGTTCCTCCTTGGCCAGGCCTTCCGGTCGGAGAGGCGGGCTGAAGTCGGAAGCGAGCGCTGTTTCTCCTTAGCGAGGCCTTTCGGTCGGAGATTGGATCGTCCTTCTAGCCTGTCGTTTTAGGTATTTGGGCCGGCCCAGGAGTTGCGCGTCGTTCGCAACATCGTCTGTTGGGCCGAGCCTTAGCTGGGAAGCCGCTCCATGAGGGACCCCGGGTTTATGAACCCGACTGTTGTAGTGTCGGTTTTTTCTAAAAAGGAATTCAGGTGTTGGTTTTTCTTGGCAAACTTTGATAATATTGTGTAGCAAACCAAACATGCTTGTGACAACTTGAAACTTAACAATGAGGAGTGGACTATAGAAAAATATATCAACATCTTATTAGAGAAACAGGGTCTTTAATCACAGGATCGTTGATCTAATTATGCAAACACTAAACAATCTAATATAGATTAAAGGACTAACCGTGGTCATTAAGTGGATAGCCCAACAACGGTGAAGTAGATCGTGGTGTGTTGATGAGATTCGTTAGTGGCTTCGACGAGGAAGAAGTGTGGTGGCCTTTAGGTTGATCCGGCACTTCTTAGAATCGGTGTCTTAGGCGATAGGTCGACACATAGTTGTGCTCGAATTGGCATGTTTGGCACAGCTCACAACAGCTTATTTGTCAAACACTTATTTCCAAAACAGCTTCACTCATGAAGTGTTTTTCTCTCCCTCTCACAAAGATATGAGTTGGGATGAAGCTGAAAAAAATAGCTTATCCTATCTCTCTCCCTCATTTCTCTCTCCCATCCATGTATGAAGTTGTTGGTGAAGCTGTTTTGCCAAACAATTTTTTTTTAAACAGCTCAGCTTCACCTAGAAAGTTACTCATGAAGCTGTTTTCCAAAAAAACAGCTTTACTAGTGAAGTTGAGCTGTGCCAAATAGGCCCTAATTGTGGTTCATTACATGGTTATTAGAAACTTTTTTGTGGACACAAAACCCACTTGTTATACTTCTCCTCCTTCCTGTACTTCTCCGAGTCGTCCGGGGAGGAACCGTACTCGCCGTCGTCCTCTCCACCAGACTTGCTGTTGTACCTGCCGCCACCGCCATTGTAGGCATCATCGCCAGAGGACTTGCAGTTGTACCCGCCGCCGGTGCCACGGCGGCTGTATTCGTCGTCGTTGGTGCCCGATTCGTTGTACCCGCCGTCGTAGTCGTCCTTGCCGGACTTGTTGTACCCACCGCCCCCGTTGCCACGGCCGTACTCATCGCCGCCGGACCTATCGTACCCATCGCCACCGCTGCGGCCGTAGTCGTCGCCGCCGGACTTGCTACCTTCGCCACGGCCGTAGTCATCAGTTCTGGACTTGCTGTTGTAGCCGCTGTCGTAGTCGTCGCCGGCGCCGGACCTGCTGTAGCCGCTGCGGCCGTACTCGTCAGCCATCGTTGACGCTTCTTAATTAGCTAATCACGTTCAGGTGTTTCGGTACAAAAGAATAGTAGTAGAGCTTGCTTGCAGTTGCACTTGCACTATGTTCCCAACAACACAGCAATGGAAAAGTATTTATAGAAGGGCTGGGAGAGACATCTCTGGTAACTCATGGCTAATATGCTGGACACGTCCTAACAATGTCTGGCAGGTAGTTGTTAATTCTTGTTGATTTCCCTTAATCTCGAAATGGAGATATTTTCTGCCGACAGAAACTAGTTGGCTAGTTGCTTGGTTGTGTCGATATCATCTGGTTGGGCTTGTTGGGCCATGGATTAAATAATGGATGAGGGTTTATTCCCTAAAATCTGAATCTTTTTTTTTCTTGAATATGCAACTAGTTGCATATCATTGCATTAAGGAAAGTGAACAAATAACTTTCAAAAAAAAGGAAAGTGAACAGATTATAATTTTTAATAATCAAACAAGAACCACTCACAGTTTGCTCTGACATTTTCGCTCAGAAAAAAGTGAAATAACTAGATGAAATTCTATAAGTGGAGATGGATATGCTTGTTTTAAAAACATCATCACATTGCTGGAGCAGAGGCCGGATTAATAAGTCATCGCGGTTCGTTATCGGAATGTTACTCATTTGTGCAAGCAATAATGCAGAGCATGCCATGTATATAGGCTAGCTGTGTGTTATTATACTATCATTAGTATTACTTGGCTGAACCTGTTGCTTAGAATCACAGTTCACAGTGTGTGTGTGTGGCAGCATCTAGGAGTTCCTCCACTCCGAAAGGAGTTTCAAGATGTCAGCCTATTGGGTTGCATGACAAGATTAACCACAATTTTGTATAACATCTCAGGCATGTTTTAGTAAGTGTTTGGTTGTAGCCACACTAGTTTTTCTAAACTATTTCCCATACATACATCCCATATGCCAACTAGAGTTTGCGGCAAGATTTCCTTAGTTATGATTAAGTTGTAGTATCGGTTTTTTTCTAAAAAGGAATTCAGGCGTTGGTTTTTCTTGGCAAACTTTGATAATATTGTGTAACAAACCAAACATGCATGTGATAACTTGAAACTTAACAATCACTACTGGAAACGGGATCTTTGCTGAGTGCAAACTGCTTTGCCGAGTGTCAAAAATCGGGCACTCGGCAAAGATCTCTTTGCCGAGTGCCGGGCGCTCGGCAAAAAAAGGCTCTCGGCAAAGGACTTCTTTGCTGAGTGCCAAGCGCTCGGCAAAATCACGGCACTCGGCATAGGTTGCCTGCGTAACGGTGTTCGGCCACGTCCTTCTTTGCCGAGTGCATGGTGTTAGGCAACAGGCAAAGAAGGTTTTAAAAAAAAATTCTTTGCCGAGTGTCCCAGATCTGGCACTCGGTAAAGATTTTTTTTTGGAAAATACTTTGCCGAGTGCCCCCGATCTGGCACTCGGTAAAGATTTAATTTTTTTTAAATTTCTTTACCGAGTGTCCCAGATCTGGCACTCGGCAAAGATTTTTTTTTTTGAATTTTCTTTGCCGAGTGCCCTTAGTGGAGGCACTCAGCAAAGAGGAAATTTCTAAAAAAATTTCAGAAACCTCTTTGTCGAGTGCCTGATCCTCGGCACTCGGCACTCGGCAAAAAACTCCTTTGCCGAGTGCCATGCCCTGACACTCGGCAAAGATTTTTTTTTCCTCCAAATTTTTTGTGCAGCCCTTTTAAGGTACCAGGAACTCCTAGTTAGAATTTGGGGATTTTTTGTGACATTTTGATATTTTTAGTTACTTTATTTCGTTTACTTGAATTTTTTCAAAAAATATAAATTTGAACTGCACGTGGTACGAACAATGGAATTTAATGATTTAAAAATGATAGTCATGTTATCGAGTGTAGTGTGTGGCATATCCGAGAACGGCCCCAAAATTTCGAGACATCTTGCTCACGAAAACATGACCGCGAACTTACGTGTGAAGTGTTTTTAAATTCTATAAAAAACAAACGAAGTCCGAAAATCATGAAACTTGTTGAGATATCGTGATATCGTATGTGGAGGCTATGATAAAAATTTGAGAAGATTTCGTGCACGTTGTTACGTACGATGCTTACAAACCAGGACATCTCCACATGTGATTTCACGAAAAAAGGCTCTCGGCAAAGGACTTCTTTGCCTAGTGTCAGGCGCTCGGCAAAATCACGACCCTCGGCATAGGTTGCCTGCGTAACGGTGTTCGGCCACGTCCTTCTTTGCCGAGTGCATGCTGTTAGGCACTCGGCAAAGAAGGTTTTTTTAAAAAAAAATTCTTTGCCGAATGTCCTAGATCTGGCACTCGGTAAAGATTTTTTTTAGAAAATACTTTGCCGAGTGCCACGATCTGGCACTCGGCTAAGATTTAATTTTTTTAAAAAATTTCTTTGCCGAGTGTCCCAGATCTGGCACTCGGCAAAGATTTTTTTTAAAATTTCTTTGCCGAGTGCCCTTAGTGGAGGCACTCGGCAAAGAGGAAATTTATAAAAAAATTTCAGAAACCTCTTTGGCGAGTGCCTGATCCTCGGGACCCCCTTTGCTGAGTGCCATGCCCCGGCACTCGGCAAAGATTTTTTTTTCTCCCAATTTTTGTGCAGCCCTTTTAAGATACCAGAAACTCCTAGTTAGAATTTAGGCATTTTTATGGCATTTTGATATATTTAGTTACTTTATTTCGTTTACTCGATTTTTTTTAAAATATGAATTTGAACTGCTACGAATAATGAAATTTAATGATTCAAAAATGTTAGTCATGTTACTGAGTGTAGTGTGTGGCCATATCCAGGAACGGACCCAAAACTTCGGACATCTTGCTCACGAAACATGACCGCGAACTTGCGTACGAAGTGTTTTTAAATTCTATAAAAAACAAACGAAGTCCGAAAATCATGAAACTTGTTGAGATGTCGTGATATCGTATGTGGAGGCTATGATAAAAATTAAAAAACATTTCGTGCATGTTATCACGTACGATGCTTACAAACCAGGACATCTCCACGTTCGTGCCAGATCTGGGACACTCGGCAAAGAAATTTTTTTAAAAAAAATTAAATCTTTGCCGAGTGTCAGATTGGGGGCACTCGGCAAAGTATGGATTTAACCCCTGGGCTGGCCACGCACCCTGCACACACGCCGCGCCGCCACCGTTTCCAACGCGCCCGCACACCGCCATCATGCTGCCAGCGCCCGGCCGTGCCCGACGCCTTGCACGCCGCCCCACGCCACGCCACCCCTGCCCGGTGCAGCCCGGCCCGCACCAGCGCCTTGCCGCCTTGCCGCCAGCCTTGCCACACCACGGCGCAGTTGCCAGCTACCCCTTGGCCAAGCCCCACCTTGCCACGATCGCCACGCACGCCTACGCCCTACCCCTGGCATGCGCTGCCCACACACGCCGAACACGCTTCGCCGCCTCGATCACCCCACGCCTTCCCTGTTGTGCCCGTGGACCGCCTACTAACGCCACGCCCATGCCCGACCCCTTTCCTGACGCCGGCGACCTCAACGCCGCCCGACCCTACCCCCGGCGCCCGTCAGGTATGCCTTCTCTTTTGTTGTTGTCGTGGTAGTGATATTGCAGTAGTATTAGTTGTACTAGTAGTGCTAGTGGTAGTAGTAGTATTAGAAGTAGTGGTAGTAGTAGTAGAATTAGTGGTAGTAGTAGTAGAAGTAGTAGTAGTAGTAGAACTAGTGGTAGTGGTTGTAGCAATAGTGGTAGTAGTAGTAGTAGAATTAGTGTAGTAGTAGTAGCAATAGTGGAAGTAGTAGTAGAAGTAGTGGTACTACTGGGATATATTATTCTGTATGGATTGATATCCAAACTACATGGCTTCTCTTGAGACATATGTGCTTGTCGGCCATCGTGCCGTTGTTTTTTGCAGGTTTTGGAAACCTCACCGTGCAGGGGAGGTTCTGCCGAATTTTTTTAAATGACAGTATTTTGTTCTATTTTTGTAGAGAAGAGCCCGTCGGAGCCGAGTCGGAGTTGCCGTCGCCGTGCCGATCTGCCTGCACCGCGTCGCCTCGCCACTGCACCGACCCGCCACAGCCCCGCTAGCCTGACTCAGCCGCCACCCTAGGTATAACCCCTCTTTCCGTATCATGGTCGTAGATCGCGTAACCCAGTTAGGCGTCTCCCGTTTGAAAGAGATACGGTTGGAGGTATGCAAATCTTTGCATATATATGACCGTATCTGTTTCAGATTGTCCACGTTTTTTGGACAGCCCGCGGATGCGTAGATGGGTTAGTTTTCATGGTCTACTCCGGTCCGAGACAGAGTTTCGGCATCACCTCCCTGTTGTTCTCCGGATACGCACTCTTCTTTGGCAGGACGTGTATCTAGAGAACAGTGGGGAGGTGCTGCCGAAATTATGTCTCGGATAGGAATAGAGCATGGAAACTAACCTCATCTACGCATCCGCGGGTGGGATTAGGACCTATCCTCACCTATTAGATAGTAGGAACACCATGTAGATGCAATTGATGGTTACATTACTCGCTGATACATATGTTAGAGGATGGATGACCGTCAGTGGATGTACACGGGCTGGAGAAGTCAGAGTGATTACACCACGGAATGGATGAACAAGACCGATGCTTTCTTGAACAGTGCATTTTGGCAAGGCTGCTAAAGGACATTGCCTAGTTTTGTATCCCTGCAGCAAATGTGGAAACATGAGAAGGGTAAACAAGGTAAAAATGGGTAAACATTTTGTGAAGAATGGATTTACGCCGGACTACACCCGGTGGGTCCACCATGGTGAAGCCCATCGTATGAGAGAGGAGGTGGTGAGACCATAGGTGGAGGCCTTTGATGCTGATGCCAGTGTAGCAGACATGTTAGATGACTTTCACCAAGGACAGTTCAATGAGGGACCTAAGAAGGAGGAGATGGAGGCAGCCGCACAGGTGTTCTACGACATGATGGACTCGGCACAGAAACCCCTTCACGATCGGTCAACGGTGTCTCAACTGGATGCCATTGGACGCTTA